TATATATATATATATATATATATATATATATATATAATGCTTCGTTTTCTGGGACAGAACTAAATGCATTATTAATGTAGAAACTTGAGCATTCTTGTGAATAAAATGTTAAATTTTTACCTTGTACTGATGCTCCAAACTGTGCATAAATACAACAATTTTGTATTTATTTCTTCAGAGTGTTATTTTTGGCTCTCCTGGGAATCCAACCTGAAATAGTGAGGTTTGATATGGATGGGAACAACAGGAAGTTGGTTGTTTCTAAACACCTTGGGATACCAGTATCACTAGCAATAGACAGATGGAATAACAAACTTGTGTGGGCAGATTCTAAAAAGGGGCTGTTATCATCCATAAAGCTTGAAGGCGGGAAAGAGTAAGAAAGTCTGTTAGCTATAGGCACTAGGCTAAAAATGTTATGAAATATGATAACATAAACAAAAAATTCTGTATAAAATTTAAACTTTAATTGCAGTTTCTTTACCAAGATGTTCTATCATCAAGGTTTAGTATTGGAAGAAGATTATGGGCTAATAGATAAAACAGTGAACATTAACGTGTTTTTGGAGGAATAGTTAATCGCATGGTAGGCAAGATAGTTATGGGATTTTGATTTTGGATCATAGGAATAGGATAAAAAAAAAAAACAATAAACTAGTAATAAAAACAAGTACAACACTACTTCATTACTATTATAAACCAATTACACTGAAAATAGAACTATAGAAGCCTTGATTTGAGGTTGTAAGCACATATGAATAGTAGAATGTTAAGACTTGTGTAAAGAATTTAAATGAATTCTAACCAGTAGGTACTTCAAAATGAGTTACTTTTCATGTACTAGTGCCATTTAACAATGTTATAAATAAATGGGAAATTTGATTTGTATATCTCTAATACAAAACCCAAGTTTTCTGAAACGTAGAATATTAACCACCTTTTTTTTTGCATGACCAAACTGCAGTAAAAGCTTTATTGTAATGCTTGGTTTGAAGCTAGTATTTGAATTTAACAAGTTTCGTACTACTCTTGTAATTCAAATAAGGCAACGAATCATGAAGACGGAACTGGGACATGTGAGTTCAGTCGCGGTGGGAGAAAATGGGGTATATTGGATGGATGTGGAGCAACGTGCACTACAGTTCTTTTATTACAACGATCCAGAACGAAAGGTATCCTCGGTAAAGCTACCAAATGCCCTAAACAATACTGCAGCAATGAGAAAGTTGTATTATGTACATCTACTAAAAATTTCGACAGGTTTGTACTCTTATTTTTAAATTGTACAAATACTGCAATACCATAGGTTCCGATTAAATTAATATTCTTTTAATTATTTCACCCCCCCGATACTTAACTTGTCTAATGTGCTTAAATGCTGACATCATTAATTCTTGTTCTTAAACCTGATAGTACTAGATTGTGACTTATACCAGCATTTCTTGACATTTCCAATACCAAGAACTGGCTTACGGTCTCCTTAAATTATAGATTGACTTTCTAGCTTGACTTTCCTGAAATCCCACTATCAGCTAGGTGGTTATAATTGCACTGGTACAGTTTTCCCCTAGACTGGTGGTTAAGAAATGTACTTAAGAGGTGTTGCATGACTTCAACATCTTTCAGTGTTTTACTGAAAGAACCTACAGTTAAGTTCTTATTTAACTTTTATATAGTCTTGTGTGAAATTAAATACTTTCACATTAAGCTGATCTGTTTATTAGTTTTTCTTCTAAAATCGTACCTTTATTTTGTATGTTGAAACTAAACTATGAAATACAAACTTATTAGCTGAGCTGACATTTGTCAATAAACAAAGTTTTGTTTTCCTAACAGTTCTAACTGTAGCAGGATGTGAGGTGGATAATGGAAAGTGTAACCAACTTTGCCTTACTAACCCAATAGGTCACACATGTGGCTGTGCCATTGGATTTGCACTTGATAATAGTGGAAGGACATGTCAAGGTTTGAGTTTCTTTTCAAAATGGTTTATCTTTAAGCTTTTAATATGGTGAGAGCAAACCCTAACTTGTTTCTGTATTTTCCTACGTTAAGTTAATGTTTGTGTGCGTGCACCTTAGACAGATTTTTTTCATAACCAATTACTAACATCTTAAAGCTATTATTCATTTGTATTGGTATCAAAGTTAGAGTTAGGAGGATATTTGCTAACTTGTTTTGTAAAACTTTATACATTCTAAATGTGAAACTAAAGTAACGTATCTTAACATTAGTATTAGTTAGCGGTGCTCTAACTATGACCTCCAGGAATTTTTAGCCTGGCCTGCAAAACATCTTCAACGAGCTTAATATGGGTTTTTGTATAGCCGTTAAGTATACTTATCCTGTAATAAGCATCTTAAAATTAAGTAAGGATTCGGAAGTATAAACGAGTTCCCGTGTACTATAAAAAAAGCATTATTGATATGTAAAATAAACCTAATAATCTGTTCTATACTAGCAATAAAAGTTGGATATGCATTCATGTACATGATTAATCTTGTAAAGCATGGATAAATTTGAGTTTAAATGTAGTATCTTCTTACCCATAATTAAATGTCATAATTTGGCAAGTTCCCGGCATTCTTCAAACACTGTATTCCAAGTACCTACCCATATGTGGTACTTCTCAGAAATTGTTCTTTCAAATCAAGTTCCCATAAACTAAGTAGTGTTTTTGAAGAAACTAATGACGTATTGAAAGTTAAAACTACTTGCAGAAGAGATTAAAGGATGCAAGAAAGATGAAGTTCAATGTGCTAATACTAATGTGTGTATACCAGAAGTTTGGAAGTGTGATGGAAGGTTTGACTGTCCTGATCAATCTGATGAGAAGGATTGTAGTAAGTTAAATGCTAGCTTGTTTGTATACTATTAATTACCATCATGGTTCTACATATTCAATCAAGTGTTTTTTTGTTTGAATAATGACTACAAATGGACTGGAAAGGAATATTTTAGTCATGACTGCTACTTAAAGTTGTAATGAAATTAATGCTTCTAAAAGTGTAGATGCTGACAAGACCTGTAAGGACTAAGAATACAATACCTATTCAGTTTTTAGGTTCAGATCAAATGTTAGGTTATCATTATAGCAAAAAATCCTCAATACTTTGAAAATCAAACTCGTAATTGATTATTAGAAGTGATTCTTAATTAAATTTTGTCAAACTAGTCTACTCAGTCTTACAACAATGTCAATTAGTTTTCTCAACAGAAGTGACTTTTGAAATGCTAATCTTTTTATTTTACTAAATCTTTTATTACAAGAAACTAGCACAAAGAATTGCCCTTTATTTCAAACCTACCCATGCCTTTCCTATCGTAAGGCATTAGTGGGCCTACTAAAGGTGTTTTGTTTGCAGACAGTAGCTGTCCTAACGAGAACTTCAGATGTGACAATGGCCTGTGTGTTGTACCTTCCTGGATATGCGACTTGATGGATGATTGTGGAGATGGATCTGATGAAAAGAACTGCTGTAAGTTCTCTTATCTTTAGGAAATTAATTTTTCTTTGCTTCACCATTAGTAAATTGTAATATCTTCTATAAAATTCTTGTTTCATTTAACATAACTTGTTTATTTAGCCAATATTAAGACTTGTGGGCCAAACCAGTTTGACTGTGGAGAGGGTCAGTGTATTTCTATGGTGTGGCTTTGTGATGGAGACAAAGATTGTGTCCTTGGCCAGGATGAGAGTGACTGTAAGGTTAAAGAGTGCAAAGAAAGCGAGTTTAGATGCTCTTCTGGCCAATGTCTACCATTGTCTTGGAAATGTGATGGAGAACCTGATTGTTCAGATGGCTTGGATGAAAAATGTGGTACGTAGTTTTATAACCAATAATAATACTCTAACACTTAATGTTGGATTAGTTAATTGTTACTTTATTTTCCTTATGAATTAGTCAAACATCAGTATTAATAGAAAATCCATTGATACATAAAATAGAAGGGAAGGAATTAATGCCTACTTCCCAAATCTACACTAATAGCTTCTTTAAATTGATGAATTTTTATTTTTTCTAATGACATTCCCTACTGAGAAACTATGCATTTGAAGATCCAACAAGTCTGAAGTTGTAAAGTTTTTCCTTGAAACTACGGTCAAAATTTCTGATTCCAAACCTAGGAGATAAAAGTATCATATCTGGAGACTTTACATCAAAATAACCTATAAATGGCAGTACGTGGTATTTGTGTACTTCTCAAGTGACCACAGCTGGAGCAAGAGATCGTATTCTTCATTTGCAAGTAACTGCAACAGTGCTTTCATAATTGGTGGGAAGGTTGGTAAACGCCTCTACAAATTAAAAAAACAAAACAACCAAAAATGAGTGCTTTTGAATCGTTAACTAATTCAGGAGAATATGGGTGTCTTTATGATGCACAAGTACAATATTGTGTTGACTCCTAAAGGAAGGAGAGCCATTTGCTTAATTTTGGATCTTTAAAAAATTCCATTATCTGAGGACTAGAAACAGTAGTATAAGTGTCATTAACATTGTGGTTATGTATCTAGTTGTGGAAGATGTTAAAGATAATTGTCTAGGCTTGTGGTGAGGTGCTACTTCTAAACTAGACAGATTTAGACTTGTTTAAATGTGTGAAAATATTAGTCTTATTATCAAAGTATGGAACAAATATTAGAAATGCCAGTTAGCCAACGTATTAATGGAGAGAGAGAGAGAGAGAGAGAGAAACCTCAACTTTGATAGTAAAGATCATTTTTAATACTAAATCTTAATTAATTAAATAGTCCAAGAGCTAAAAGGATAGGTCTAAGTGGACAGTTCTTTTTCATAGTGAAGATAATCTCCTATTCAGTTCTGTGCACTTGGATAAATTTAAACTTTTGGTGTGCTGGCTTTCTGACCACTTGTTTATATGAAATAGTTAGAATGCCTTGCTTTCGTGTTCAACCGTGCATGCTATATATAATTAGCTATACTTGTTATTGACTAACATAGACCTAAATTAACTTTACTTTCAAATCCTTGTTTAGGAACGAGTCCACCTTGTAAATCCACTGACTTTCAGTGCAACAATGGCATTTGTATTGATGCAAGACTCGTGTGTGATCAACGAGACGACTGTCAGGATGGATCGGATGAATCAAAATGTGGTTTGTGTATAACTCAATGTTTCACTTAGCTACACGTCTCGTGAACCCAGATTTTTTCTGTTACAAGCAAAGACTGTATAATTAATCATTGTTTTATTTTGCTTTTAAAGTTTTTTGACTTGTAATAAGTCTATTTACATAACTTGTATTTGGGTCCTTACAATATCAAGATTGTTTCTCTGGACTAGTTTAGAACTTGGTCTTTTTCCAAGGCAGAAACACTCGGATGAAGTAAACTCTATACTGGTGATAAGTTTGCAAACAACTATTTAAGCATAATGAAGTAATCTTATTTTTGCAAAACATTAAATGTTAAGCCTGAACAATTATCTCTTCTCCCCCCCCCCCCCAAGCAAGACAAAAAAAAAAAAAAACCTCTTATATTAGCATACTGTGCTTCCATACTAAAGTATATTTAGTGTTGATTTAAGTTAAATGTTCTGTTTTATTAGATCACAACATTATCACTATATGTCCTGATGGCATGACAAGTTGTGAAAATGGTCCCTGTATCTATGACCATGAAATTTGTGACGGCCTCCAAGACTGTCCTGATGGGAAAGATGAAGCAAACTGTAGTAAGTTTTTTGTTATTCAGAGACGTAATTTTAACTATCAGAACAACTAACACAGTTCATTATATACTAGAAGATAACTATGAAATACTCGTTCGGAAGATTCTTCTGTTTAATTAGGTAGTTATAGTTGCTCTTCCACCAATCTTCTGCAATTTCTAAATTGTTAATTTGAGTTTGTTTAGGATTGTGAAGTGATAAACCTACTTAATCATTCAATATCAAAATTACTTTTCCTTAAAGTAATATTTTCATTCTATATTTTCCATTATGGTTAATTTGTTTTAATACTAACTGTTCTTCCTCTTCTTGGTAGCTGTTAGAGAATGTGATACTTGGGAGTTCTATTGTCCTACAAGAAAGAACTGTATTCCAGATGCTTGGTTGTGTGATGGAGAGGACGATTGTGGTAATAAAGAGGATGAAACTCTCCCAAAGTGCCACAACACTAAAGCTTTTGTAAAGCTGACGAGCCCAGTTGTACAAGGTGTGTGTCTGTATGACCTGATGTGAAGTGTAAATATAATACCAGCACAACCAGTTGCGTGTAGAATTTCAAACATTGTGGATATCATTAGCTTTTAAGTTTCAGTACAGCTATTTTTTTTATTTTAATTCTAGAACCATCATGTAAAGAAGACTTTACGTGCAAATCTGGCGAGTGCATTTCCTGGAACCTTGTCTGTGATCGTAAACCAGATTGCTTAGATTACTCCGATGAACATGATAATTGTGGCAAGTTTAATTGCATTTTTGTAGTCTAGAACGAATTTGAGTTTTACATTAGAATAGTAATAATAGTACTCATTCATAGCCTTTTTATACTCTCTACACCAGGAGGAATGTATTTTAAACTGAACGCGATATTACTAGTTTTCATTTTGTAGTACATTGCCTTATTTGAAAACTGCCCGAAGGAAGAAACCATGTCTTAAAGCTATGTACTTCGTTGATTTTTGACTGTAACTGTTTTATAACTTATTCAAATTCTCTTTATACAAAACGTACAACTTAACTTCCATTTAACAATTTTTATTGTCGGTGAATAGTTAGCATTACATGTTGTTTTCAATGAGTACTTTCTTTAATACTTCATTACTTGTATCCAACATAACTACTTTCACCCAAAGATTGCCTTAGACTCCAAACTTTGCAAATAATACATGTATTTAGAAACATTCACTTGCACTTTTCATTTACTTCTTTATAACTTCAGGATCATCGTGTAGTACAAACAACGGAGGTTGTGCACACATTTGTGAAAACACTCCAATGGGAGCCGTATGTTCTTGCCGTGAAGGCTTTGCTCTAATGAGAGATCTACGCAGCTGTGATGGTAGGTGCTAAAGTTCTTCTAAGATCACATCAAGAATGTAAAGGTAGAGGAAGCTTGATGCTACGTTGTTGTTGATTCTCTGAAATATTAACTTCAGTAGTGTTATTCAAATGGTTATTTGACTGACTTGTTTTATTCAAAGTTTCACAATGAAAAAATGTTAGTTATAATTCACTTCAAACAAACCATTCTCAGAATGTGGAGTAAGAAATTGTTCTTCCTTTCTCACTTGAGTAAGATAAAATCAGAAGTAATTAGTAGCTTACAAGAAGTCTTGATCTACAGTGTTTTTAATTGTTAAATTCTATCTTTCTGGTATTCAGATATTGATGAGTGTACCATCATTGGACACTGTAGTCACTTCTGTAAAAACACCAAAGGTGGCTTCAAATGTTCTTGCTCGTCAGGCTATATCCTTGGCCCGGACCACCAGTACTGTAAAGCTGATGGTATGTTGGTTATTATGATCTATTATTACTAGTACTCCAATAACAAATTATGACTAACCCATTGACTGCTGATTTACCATATGGTACAATATGCGTCCACCAGTTGAATAAACGTGTGCCGATACAGCGTATGTCTTGCAAATATTCTATGTGCACTTGGAGGAGTCGGACAGTAGGATGATAGTAACCTACTAATGTAAAAACATGTGTTTAACATTAAGTATTACACTGACATTTAAGTCAAAGTCTGATCTTGTTTTCCATGTATTTCCTTGGTATTCAATTAATGAAATTTGACTATTTCCTAAAACTAGCCATGGCTTTAGCATCTTAAGTAATTCCTCAAACTCTTAACACAAGTTTCCTTGTGAAGGTGAACCTTGAACTTAATTGGGTATTACTAACACTGTCTATATAGATTAGTGACTTAATTTTTATATTCTATTTTCAGTAAAGAATCTAAACCTAACAGTAGAACTTATTCTCACTAGGTCCTGTACCTGATCTTCTGTACCTCTTGCCCAATGAGATCAGAGCTTTAACTTTAAAAGGAACATCCAATTTTCTGGTAGTTCAAAGGAATATAGCTGATCTTCGTGGTCTTGACTACGATATAAATAACCAGTTAATCTTCTGGTCAGAGTGGAAAGAGGCAAGTTAATGTTTAAGAAAATCTTTTCTAGATGCACTGACAAATAAAACCTAATTACATTAAGTAAATGGCAAAAATGAAGGTAACATTTATAAAATCAAACCTTGATTTAATGTTCTATCTTACTTTAGGTTTCGGCTTAAGAACAATTTTAGGTTTCGGCTTAAGAACAATTTTAGGTTTCGGCTTAAGAACAATTTTAGGTTTCGGCTTAAGAACAATTTTAGGTTTCGGCTTAAGAACAATTTTAGGTTTCGG